GGGGGGGTCACCCCGTTTGTGACCCCCACCCCCCACCCCCCGTCCCCTCACCTTGACGCCGTCAGCCTTCTTGTTGAGCAGGCTCTTAGCTGCTGCGGGGGAGAAAGCAGAGGGTCAGAGCTGCGTGTCCCCGCGTGGGGACAGGGCCACCGTCCCCTCCCGTCCCGGGGGGGCGCCGGGGGGGCACAGCGGGGGCCGGGGGTTGGCTTACCTGGGAGAAATGCAGAGAGGAAAGCGAGAGAGAGAGAGAGAGAGAGAGAAGGGGGCGAGAGAGAGAGGAAGGGGGGTGGGGAAAAAAAGGGGGAAAAGGGAAAAACAAAACAGAAAAACACAAAAATCGTCTCTGAGCGCAGGCGGCGGCCCCGGACCCCGCAAACCGTGCAGGGGGGCACCGGGACGTGGGGCGGCCGCCCCTCCTGGCCTGACCTATGTGGGGCGGGGGGCGCGCGGCACGGGGGGGGGCGCGCCGCTGTGTCCCCCCCTCCAGCGCCGGTGTCACCTGCGGGCGTCCTCAGCTCCGTCCTCAGCGGGCCGTGTCGGGGATGGCAGCGCCGGGGGGGGGTCCCGGCGGGGCCCCATTGGGTGGGGGGGGGGGGGGCCGGGGCAGGGCGGGGGGGGCCACGGGGACACCCCCGTGGCACAGCCGTGTCCCCGGGGTGCGGGCCCTCCTCGGGAAGCGGGCTGGGGGCTGCGGCGCTGGGGGTCGGGGTCTAAACCAGAGCCATCGGGGGGGTCCCCGGGGGGGGGCTCGCTGGCTGTGGGGGGGTTTAAGACCCGCCGAGTGTTTCGCGGCACCACAAACACCGGCTGCAGCGCAACGGGGCCGTGCGGGCACACTGCAGCGCAGCCCCCAGAGGGGAATGCAGCACCCATGCGGCAATGCAGCCCCCTCCCATGTGCTTGCACGAAGCCCCTCCCCCCCACCCCCCATGCAGCGGCACCGCTTCCCCCATGCACGGGTGCAGCCCCCATGCAGCAGCGCAGCCCCCCTGCAGCAGAGCGATGCTGTGGGATGGAGCAGCAGCCTTGGGGTCAGCACACCCCCAAATGTGGGGGAGGGGGGAGGTTGGCTCTGAAATTCTCCCTGACCCCCCCCCCACATCCCACTGTGTGCCATCGGGTAATGGGTGCTACGATGGGTGCTGGGGGCCATGGGGTGCCACAGTGGGTCCCGGTAGGGGGCTGGGGGCCATAGGGGATCCCAGGTGTCACCACGGGTGCCCGGTGCCGCAAGGCTTCCAGCTGCCACAGGGGTCCCTGGTGACATGGAAGGTCCCAGGTGACACAGGGGGGTCTTGGGTACCAAAGGGGTGCCAGGTACCACGAGGGTCCCATGTGCCATGGGGATCCCAGGTAACACAGGGTCCTGGGTGACACGGGGATCCCACGTGCCATAGGGATGCCATATCCCATGGGGTCCTGAGTGACACGGGGGTCCCAAGGACCGTGAGCATCCTGGGTGCTGTGGGGTCGCGAGGGCTTTTGGGTCATCCTGGGTGACGTGAGGGCTTTTGGGTCCCACAGCACTGTGGCACAGGAAGCACCCACAGCCCACGGCCCCACGCAGCCCCGGTGTGGGGACACAAGCGGTGACAGGGACACCGTGTGCCAGCGGGGGGGGGGTGGGGAGGCACCTCCCTCCCCAGGAGCAGCCGGGGGGGTGGGGGGACACAGGCAGAGAGGTGGACAGGCAGACGGGGGGGGGGGTCCCATGCGTGCGGTGCCATTCCCGAGGAGGGACCCCGAGCCTGGATTTTTTTTTTTTTTTTCCCCCCCCCCCCCCCCCCCCCCCGCCCCCGGGCCCCCCCGGCCGCCCGGGGGGGGGTCCGTGCGGCGTCTACCTTGTTCCACCAGCCCCAGGGGGGCCGCGGCGGCCGACATGGAGGGAGGCGCGGTGGTCTGTCTGCCCACTGCGGGGCGGGCAGCGAGAGGAGAGAAAGGAAGCGACCCCGTTAGGTGGGCACGGGGTGGGAGGCCCTGCTGGGGGTCACCCCACGTCGCCTCCTGGCTTCCCCCCCCCCAGCCCCGTTACCGCACGGCGCGGCCGTCCTGGCGTCAAAATGGGGTGGGGGGAGTTTGGAGGGAGGGGGAAAGAGAGAAAGAGAGCGGCAGCGCGCGGGGGGCCAGGCCCGGGGACGCGGGGGGTGGCGGGGCGTCCCGGGGCCGGGAGGGGGGGGGCTCACCTGAGAAGTTCCGGGTGGCCAGCATGGTGGTGAGGATGGCACCCTGCAATGGCAGTGGGTCAGAGCGGCACCGGGACGGGGGGTAATGGGGTGGGGTGGCAGGGGGATACGGCTGGGAAAGCACAGGGACACCCAGGACACCGCTGAGGGACACGGGAAGGCAGGGAGGACTGAAACCAAGCCAGGTGACACTGTGACAGGGTCAGGGTGACACCACAGCACAGACAGGTGACACCAGGACGCGGCTGCGCTGGGACATGGGGAGCATCAGGACATGGGTGGGATGGGGCCGGGGACAAAGTTGGGCACTGGGACGTCCCAAAAGGGGACCGTGGGACACAAGGGGGTGCCATGGTGACACAGTGGGATGCGGTCAGGGAGGGAGTGGGAGATACGGGACACAGCAAAGCCCTGCAATGGGGCTGCAGTCGGACCGGGACGTGCTGGGATGGAACCGGGGGAGACGGGAGAGCACCGGGATGGGGCTGAGGGACACGGGAAGGTGTGGGGACACGGCAGGATGGGGACACGGCCATGGTGGGATGGGGACACAGTGGGGCGGAGCGGGACGTGCTGGGATGGGACCCCGGCCCACCTTCAGCTTCCTGCGGGCGTTGAACTTCTTCAGGCACTCCACCGTCTCCTGTCTGTGCATCATGGAAGCCACGGTGGAGCGTTGCTGTGGGGACAGCGGGGTCAGCGGGGAGCGCGTCCCACGGGGATGGCGTGGGCTGGGGGGGGGGGCAACACTTACGCAGACCCACGGGTGTTTGAGGGCCTCGTGGGCCGTGATGCGCTTGGCGGGGTTGATGGTCAGCATCTGGTTGATGAGGTTCTTGGCTTCGGGGGTGACCGTGTCCCACTCGGGGGAGGGGAACTGCGGGGACACAGCAGGACGGGGCGGGGAGGGGGCGGCCGTGAGCCTCCGTCCCTGCAGGGGGGGCCGGGGGTGACGGCGCACTCACATCGTAGGCGCCCGCCTTGATCTGCTGGTACAGCTTGTGCTGGTCCTCGTCCCAGAAGGGCGGGTATCCCACCAGCAGGATGTAGAGGATCACCCCTGTGCCACACAGACGTCAGCACGACTGGCAGCGGGGGGCAGCGATGGGGGGGCGGGGGGTCAGCAAAGACTGCAGCAGGATCGACGTGGGGACTGGGATGGAAGCGGTGTGGGAACCGGGATGGGGGTTGGTGCAGAGACCGGGGCAGGCAGCAGTGTAAACTGGATTGGGAGCAGGATGAACTGCAATGGGATCAGAGCGGGGACTGGGTGGGGAGCAGCTGGGAAAGGGACTGGGATGGGAGTCAGTGAGGAGTGGGATGGGGATGGGGATGGGGATGGGGATGGGATGGGATGGGGATG